GTTGGATTACTTTAAAATTGCTTCCAGCTCTTCTTTCTCTCTATCACGACTTTGTAGCACTCCTGCCAGGGAAATTCCTGCATTTCCATAGTTTACAGGGATCCTCTCCCTGTTTGCCACCTGGACCATCTCAGGGAATGCAGTTGGTATTGGCCTGCCCATTTTACAGTTGGGGAAGCTGAGTCACAGTGACGTGACAGAGTCCCATTGGAGTCGGGACCAGGACTCCAGGCTGCAGGGTTCCCATTTGGTGTGCTGAGGAATCTTGAAAAATGCCCAAGCTCCTGGAGGTCAGGGCCTGTCTTTTCCCTTCACGCGTCCCTGGTGCTTAGCACAGAGCCTGGTAGGAATAGGCACTGGGGGAAGGAAGGTGAGAATACATGAGTGATGAGTGAATGGATGCCTGCTTGAGTCCGTTCAGCCAGTGAACCCGGCAACTGTCTGAGACGCAGTGAGTGCTGACGTTTGTTAAGCATGTCCCACTTACTGTGTGTCAGGTCCTTCCTAAGCGTTTTCTGCACCTGTTAACTCTTTGATCGTCATAATCTTCCAGGGAAGGCTCTACTCTCACCACCCGTTTTACAGAGNGTGTGTGTGTGTGTGTGTGTGTGTCTGCAAAACTGATAAGTACGAGGGTTTTGTTTTTTTTTTTTCCTTTTTATATAATTGGGACCCTACAATATAGGACACTTGTAGAGTTTTTTTTAAGCTAGTGTCTTGGAGCTGTACTTATATTACTCATAATCATAAAATAATAATTCAGCTGTTATTTTGGGTCAAGCCCTGCCCCAAGTCCTTCAGCTGTATTAACACATTAAGATGAGAGGTGTTCTAGCAGATTGGCTAAAGGGTGTGGGCTCTGGAGGAAGACTCCCTTTGTTCTGATCCAAGCTTCATAGCTGTGAGCTCTCTTTGCCTCAGTTTCCCCAAATAGAGTGGGGCTGATAATATGTCTTCCCCACAGGGATGTTCAGATGGTGTGTTCTTACATAGAAGGCACTTAGATGAGTGTCTAGCATGTAGTAAGCTTTCATTTTCTTTAATCCTAACAACGAGCCTATGACAGAAAGAAATCAAGGCACAGAGAGGTTAGGTAACTTGCTCGAGGTCCTAGTGCTGGTGAACTAACTCATTGCTGGTACCTGCTGCATAGTATTGTGGAGAGGACTCTTCCTTGGCTGTTCCCCTTTGACAGGCAGTTGGGATGCTTCCAGTTGTCACAGTTTCAGATAAGTTTGCCCAGAGCAGCCTTGCACACCTCTGGACACACGTGTGTGTGTCTGGAGGAGGAACTTCTGAGTCATACAGGGACCCAGTTGCGTTTCTT